TGAATTTGATCTTCTCTTTTCCCATAGAAATTAAAGTAGTAGGCAAGCAATGTTTAGAAAGCTGTTGTTTTTACTAACCAGCAAAACAAAGCCTTTGAGTTGATTCCAACTCCCAGCGAACCTGTAGGCTGGAGTCCGTGTGCAGGCTGTAGATCATCTTTCCAGCAGTGCACTACCACGTATTTCCCCCCGCAGGGCGGTTGGTGGGTTCATAGCAGCTTTCCAGTTAGCAGCCAAGGACCCAAGCACTGTGCCACCAGGGCTCCTGGTGCATGTTTAGAACCCAGGAAAACCACTCTTCTTATTGGTGCATCCCTCTATTTATGTACTTATTTCCCTTATGTCCCCAAATATATCCTGTGTCTTCTTCATCTATATAGGACTGCAGGTAAGTGATTGGGAAATTTATACTCATGAGGAAAATTGCTATGCGTATAAGTTAGGTGTTTGCCCTAAAATGTTAAATGTTTGGGACTCTTTTTGTTGTTTTAATGCTCGAGTTTTAACATCTGAATTTTAAAGCACACTGAAATGACATGATAAGCCCCTTGGTAGGAGATTAGAACATCCTTTTGGAGAAAGTGAATGTCCTCAGAGGTAGAACTTACACGATGCTAACAACTGGGGAGTTCTACCAAAGGCAGACTGCTGACTGCCCAGGCAGTCTGTGATAAGAAGCACCGTTGCTTTCCTGGTATGTCTGAAAGGCTGGCAAGAATCATTGTTTATCGCTGGAAGTGTCACCTTTGAATGAAGGGAACCAAAATATAAGAACCAAAATATAAGAATAGATACAATTGCAGAAACCAAAAGAACATTTGAAAAATGTTTAAAGATACTCTTTAAAGAGTATCTTTAGGCCAGAAGAAAAGATACGGCTTCTATCAAACACATATAGGATGCTTTGAAATAAGGACAGTAGTTGAACAAGAAAAAGTTCCTAGAAATCTAAAATTTTACATTTGGTTACATTTTTTCAATACACAAGTTGGAAGTTAAAAATCAATGAAATATTCTAGAAAATAGAACAAAAGGATAC